GTTCTTATTGCCAATAGTTTTGCTGGTTTTGTCACTGGTTCACTGCTGATTTATTTCTCTCTCTAATGGTGCATTTAATTGTCTTTGATGTAAAGAGTATCTTTTACTCAAATATATATTTTGACCCATTTATTTGCACGTAAATATTCTGTCTGTAATAGCAAAACATAGTAGGAAAAGCTAAACCAAACCAAATTAAACCCCTAAAGTACTCATTTGAACTAACAGCGTGCCTGCTGTGCATGTTGGAACAACCTCCACTAGTCTGGGCTGATGATCCAGGAAAGCTGTCCTCCTTTGTTTCCCCATAACAGTTTTCAGATCCCCATCGAAGGCTTAAAGTATTTACAGTGCTGCAGTCTGCCTTTCCTCCCCGAGCCTCCCTGAGGACGGCATTACAGCTAATGGGAGATATATGGCCAAACAGATGGAGCTGGCATGCTGTGGACTCATCCGCTGTCTCTCAGAGTTTGAGATGGGTTTTTGTTTGCTAGTTTGTTTGTTTATTTTAGAAATCTGGCCAGTTTTCAGACTTGATCACAAGTGTCATTCCCCTCATAAGGTTAAGTGGCCAAGCACTAATCTGAAGGGTGCAACATGAAGAGAATTAGACAGGTGAGGAAAATCTTCCAGAAATGTTAACACACAAAGTATAGAGCTCTTCATTTGATATAAAACTACAAGCCCTTTTGTTGCTCACTAATACAAATGAGGAGAGACTTGGTTTGTGAAGGAAATACTGTTTTTATATGTTATATAAACAAACACACGTAGACATACACAGTCCAGACCCAACAGCTTAAGTGGTAAAACATATTAAAGCTATTATAGAAAGCTCATTTACAGACATTTACATAAACTGCTCTGCAGCCTCAAGTCCCTAAAACAATAAACAATAACTGTCAAATACATTCCTGCATTTGATAAAGCACCGTATGTATTTTCATATGCTGGGAAAGTGGTCAGCTCACCAAAATTACAAAAAGACAATAATGTAAATCCAGTTGTGCAATATTTTCATGCCACGTCACTGCAAATATAAGCACTCGAGTTGGATTATGATTTTCGTTATGTATGAGAGCAGATATGGAGTATGCTCACAGCCATTGTGATCCACTTGGAAAAAAATGGGCTGGAGTTCACTAGCAAAGAAGAAATGTGAAGGAGTGAGAATGACTCCACCTCAACGATCTTACTACCGTTAAGTATTTGTAGGTAAATATAATTACAACTGCTTGTTTTGTTTTGACAAACAAATTATGATGAATGCAAATATTTATCTGTATTATTTTTCTTCTTCTTTTGAGATTGAACGACCCACTCTGATTTCTTTTGTATTTGTTTTATTATTGCTCATCTTCCCTGTGCTTTGTCCCTGATGTTTGTATTTTGCATTCTCGTGCATGACC